AGGAAGTACCAAAGCTCCACGCAGAACCACATCCTGCCACTATGGAGGTTGCTTCTGATTTCAGGAACGGGAGCGTGCAATGTTTTCAAAGGGCTCAAACGCCCATCGGTCAGAAGAGACCCAGGCTCCTGCATGCCCTATGACAGCAGAGGGCTCGGCCGTGCCACCCACTTCACACGTGTCAGTCCACAAAGGGAAGTGGTGATAACAACCCCAAGCTACTGTCCTTGATTGCAAAGGAAACCCTGAGCATAGCACTGGAGGTGCCCTGGGCAGGGCATCTTCACCACTCCTTTCTGGGACTGGCACAGCAAGGAGGAGTATACAGGGCTTGCTGCGGGGCTGATGTGGGATACGCTGGCCCTAAGACATCTGTGACAACGGGGCGCAAGTCATCTCTGGGGAGTCTTGGAGCCAGAGATCAGAGCCCTGCTGGGCTAGGAGAAGTTGCTCCAGAGAGCATGAAAATCAGGGGTCAGACAGGGTGGGACAGGTGGACAAAATGGGAAGACATAGCCCGAACCCTCGTCAGAGGTTACAGGCAAATGTCCAGCTGGGCGTGCTAGTGCCTAACCCGCTCCAGCCATTCATCGGGGTCGGCAGGAATGCCGTAGACCCCCGACATACATGGCTGGATCTTTCCTGGCTGGTGCTGATCTTTCCAAACAAGACTTTTTCCTTTTACAAACCACACTTGTGCAAGAGTCGCCCAGACCCTTCATTGACTTCTGCTCTGCAGACAGTCCCTCTCCTCTTCTTGCAGGTCAAACACACAGGCCTCCTCATACCCTCGGCACCTCTGTCCGTGGGGGTAACGGTGCCTTTTTCCCCCCAGAAGGGTGGGGAGCACAAATTGTTTTGAGCTGCTCCCAGCGAACTGCTAAGATAGCTGGTGGTTGGTACCTGAGTGCCCAACAGTGGCTGGTAGGATCATTTGGCCTTTCTCCATCCCTTGTACAAGTCTCTGCTTCATTTTTCTTACAGTGAACAAAGATAAAATGAGGTTGAAGCAAAGCTAGCCTTTCCTGCAGGACACTAGGAAGTTCATGGTCCTCACACAAATGCTCACATCCACAGTCCCTGTTTTTCCTAACCAGTTACTCAGTCACTTCTTTAGCCTGCAGAGGAATTTTTACATCAAATTTTGACCTGGCTTTGTAGGTGCTAATTTTAGGACTTTTTATAGGACTGGCTGAAGCTTCAAGCTAGAGGAATCACCTTGGTAAAATCAGCCTTTATGACCGTTTTCATGAGATGAGATGTAACATCATGCCAGGCCTCTGGAAGGAGTCTGCTCTCACATCTGCCAGCTAATTTGTGAAAAATACATTGCAAGGATATTACCTCCCCATTGTGCACTTTGCTAATAAAACTACAGAGTTTTCCAATAGTTTATTGTCTGCAAGAATTTTAATATCCCTTTCCTTCTGTCTAACAGAGTTTTAGAGACAGACCCAGGTATAGTATTTAAAAAAAAAACAACCAAGGACCAAGAAAAGACAAGACAAAACAGAAAGGTTTAAAAACGTTGTGATATTTTTGGAGTGGTTCCAGCAGAGCTGTTGGCATCACATTTGGGCTGTTCCTTAACAGCCACATTTATATGCAGCATTTTAAAGTATTTTACTGCCCTGACAGTGTGATCGGCAAATGTCTGAGAAAATGATATTTGATCCTGACTCCGCGTCCTGTGATTTGCCCTGCCAACTGTGTGTGTCTGATTGTGCTGTGTTTTTCCTAGTCATGGGGCTCCAGTCTCTAGCAACTGTCTTCGGAGGGTCTCAAAGCTCTTCTCCAGCATTAATTAAACTTTACAAGAGCCCTGTGAGCTGGGTCTTGTCATTAGATTTTCGGACAGGGAAACCCAGGCACTCGGAAGCAGAACGATCAGTGGTAGACGCTACCTGTAGTTGAAACCCGTCTCCCCGTCCAGTCTTTAAAATGATGCATTGAGTCAGAGCAGGTTGCACCCACGCTCATTATTCCCTTCCCGTAGAGGTCCTGTGGGTTTTAGCTCGACAGCCTGCCCCGTTCCTGCCCTGGCTCTGGTGACGGATGGGACTCCTTATGGTCCCAGAGCTTTCTTCTGAGCACCATCATCCCGCCCACGTGCCTGGGAGTGTGCATCCCGCCCTGCCTGGGCTAGTCCCGCTGGCACACCCGGGCTCTCCTCCTGCTTTCTTATCTGTACAGTCCCTGCGACGTCCCGATTCAGCAGCTCTTCTCAAGTGGCTCCAGCTTCCTTGCCTTTCCTGTCTTTCCTTGTTGAGTGAATGTCTTCCTCCGTGCTGGAGCTGATCTGGGTGGACGGGAAGTCCTTCCCTTTAGCAGCAGAGCTCACTGTGAACGTGCTGCTGCTGGAGCTGATTCTCATCATCTCGTGAGCAAAGTTGTTTTCTTTTAAGAATGCGCCTAATTATCCACATGGCCGTGTACCTTCAAAACCTGTTCCCATCGATGGCAGGGGCTTTCGTCTTTCCTCTGGAAATGGCCTTGTGCAAGCACCACTCCTCACGTTCCAGTTCCCTGGTGTATAATTATCCCCTTCTCAACGTCCATTTCCAGCTCCTGGTTTCAGTCCAATTCCATGCTAGGAGCACAGCACATGCTGTCGTGCTTTTCATAGATTATGTGCATACCACATAGGAGAGCACTGCAAAATCATGCAAACCCAGGGCACCCCATGCTATAGTGATACTGAAGTTTTTGGCCCCCGCTGTGGGCCAGAAGAGTGGTGCAGGGCCAGCCCACAGGCCGGATTGAGCCCCGCGTGTCAGGATCAGGTCCGGCGCTGCCTCCTCCCAGCCTCATGCACCTGGATAGGGCCCTGCATGGCCTCAGCTGGGATGAAGGCGCACACCAGCCCGGTGCTCTGGGTTCAGGCCCTGGGCCCCCCATGAGCCAGGATCGGGCCTTGGCACGCTGTGCCACCCCCATCACACTGGGATCAAGCCCTGCACTGCCCTGCGCACCAAATCTAGCACACAAGACCCGTGGGGAGTCTTGCGGGCTGGACAACATGCCGCCAGGGGCAGGATCTGGCCTGTGGGCCAGAGGTTGAGCACCTCTGTAGTACTGTGCACAGTGAAAACCCAAGGAAAGTAACTGTTCCTCTCCTAAGATAGGCCAGGTCTAGCACACCTGGTGCAACACCTTCACAAGAGGTGAGTGAGAGAGGAAAGAGACTGAAGGTTGAGGCTGCACCTCAAGCCTCGGGAGAGCAAAGTATTATTCCTGGCTTTGCCCCAGACTCCCCCGGTTGGCGTTAGGTAAATCACGCAACCTCACTCTGTCTTACTTCCCCAGCACGTTCCTCCTCCTGCCTCTGTCTCGTCTAAGGAGATGCTCTTCTAGGTGAGGACTACCCCTTACCCTGTGTATGCACAAAGGAGCCCCGGTTTTGGTTGGGGCTGATATTACAGTGGCACCTACTTAAAAAAAGCCCCCTAAGTTATGAATCACCCAAGTTGTAAAAGGCAAGAAACTACAGTTTTGAACCCCAGCCTCATCGTGCAGCTGTTCAACCCACAGACAATCATAAAGCAGATGATAAAAATAGTAATAAATATACATGCTCACCTTCCACAAAGGAAGTCCTGAACTGCGTTCGCTTCATCACCGTGATGAAAACATGCCTCTAAATATGCTGAAAAGTCCTGGGCTGCAAGCTCTTAAAACTCTGCTTATAAATTACAGTATCGTTTTAACGCAAATGTATATTCATGTTGCTTTAGTGCTTTTAAAAACCTACCTGTCCTAAATTGAAACACGTGAGATTAATCTGCTCCAGTTCCTCTTGGATTATTCTCTTTACAAGCTGGAAACCTAAGTTATCTGTATGTGATCAAGTGCCAATAATGATAGTGTTTAAGTGAAAACTTAGCCGAATTCCTGGCGTGGTTCATTTCCAAGATAAACAAGTGCAGATTTCCAGGGTATTTCTGTAACAGGTTTTGCAGTCGGTGTGTGTTTAGGAAAGAGTTCTGTCGCATCCGAGAGGCACGGGGTCATCCAGAGTTTGGTCTTACCTATGCCCTGCACTGAAATTGCTAGTGTTGGTAGTTATTTCACAGACACGTGTGTTAATAATAGTTGGTAGCTGTCTGCTGACAACGATGAGAATAACTGCTATACCTGGTCATTCTCCGATGCAAGGCGATTCACCTGACTTAGCTTCCGTGAAGGGGACTTTGAAATAAAATCCGTGCATTTTGCATTAGACCCTGGCAGCAGTTAGCAGTCTAATGATGTTTAACAGATCTGAAAGCACATCCTAACCATCCGTGAATGAGACTGCCTTCCACCTCTCTGAAGTAGCTACGATAGAGGTCCAAGTGTTGCTTGCCCAAAGTCAGGACCCAGAGTTCATCTCATTTGTAGTGCAGTAGCCCCTAGGAACGAGAGGGAGCAGGTGTATGCACACAGATGGGGATAGCCTAGAAGATGATGATACTGGGGGGGGGGAATCCTGGCCCCACTGGAATCCGTGGGAGATTGGCCATTGATGTCAATGGACCCGGGTGTTTGTCCTTGAATCTAGCTTCCCCAAAGGCCTCCTATGCACAGACTGGACCTGCAATGCAGAAATTACGGTTGGGATTTTCAATGGGGCATCTAGGAAATCTGTCATCCTCTTTGGAAATCTCAGCCATTAGCCTTTGCATCTCGATGCGGTTGCTTGTCATGCTGCATCTTCCCTGTGACTTGTAGCTGTTGTTCCATCCTTTTAACTTGGCCTGCATTTGAAACACTGCTTGCTGCTTTTCTTAACCTGCTGGGTTGTATTTAATTAGACCTAAACTGTAAATATGAGACTTGCCCCCAGAAGAGGAAGGTAGCGAGAGAAACTTGGGGGTTTTGAACTCATTGGAAGGGGTATAGTCATTCATATTTTGCCTGAGAGTCCACATACTCACTAATCGCCCTTCAAGAAAATTGCAGCTGCCATGTCTAATCACATTCATTTGGATTAACTTGTGATGTATGGTTCCTATTTGTAGGAGACTTCAATGCCAAGGATCAGACACACGCCAGCGTAATGTCGAAAAACCATGGACACAGGCTGGAGGTGGTGGAAATCAGACTGGCCCAGAAACAAGGTAGCCCCTTTTAGAGAGAATTACAGCCCGTCAAACAGACATAGCATGAGAGGCACAATTTTTCCTCAGGAGAGTATTAACAAAATTAGGATGTTAGTCCAAAGTACATTTATTGAGCTTGAAATGAGCCCCCAGGTTTTTTGGTGGGTTTTTTTTTTTTTTGTTTCTTTTTTTCAGAGGAACTTGTATAATTGAATTGGCAAAGCGCCCTCTTTGACATTGATTTTTACAACCACTTTACCTTTTAGACACCGTCTCACATGTTATTGATTTAAAAATTCATTGTGAATGCTTTGAGATCTGGTTTCTGTCTACTTTGGGAAGGAGAAAGAATAACACGCAAAGTAGTTGCAGTGTAAAGCACAGGTCATGAGTTGAATGCCTTTCATTTAAGGTATTCCTGTCTCTCAAACCAACCGTCGGCTGTTAATGGTTCAAAATTTTGTCATCTCCGTCCATGCTGGTTTTTTAGAAAGCTGCAATTTCTCATGCAAAGAGGGACCACTCAGCTCCCAACGAGGCTCACACGCAGGCTCTAACTGCCTAGTTTCCACAGGGCTCTCTTAAAGAAAAGCAACAGAGAGTTTTTTTCGCCTTGGAAAATGTTGTCCTGCTTTGGTTTTAATTAGCACTGTGCAGCTATACTAAGGCAAGATACAAATCCCATGGCAGTTGATGGAAAGATTCCCACGTGCACATGCATCCACCAACCTGACAAACTATTTGGGGTTTTGTGTCAGTCATCCTGGCCTGGGAGGTGCGGAGGATGTCTTCAAGTGCCCTGCCACGTTTAGGCCTGAGTTCTTCTATGCTTTGTCTTGTCCTGGCTGCCTGGAGCACATGATACCAAGCCTACTTTATATTGCCCAAAATTCATATGAAACTCAAGAAAGAACATGTGCTCATGTTAGACAGGCCGTGCCGTCGGTCTAGCAGAGGCTCTTCCTCCTATGTAAGTAGTTGGGATATCAATGCATCCACGTGTGGTTCTTCACCTACGTTACGTCATACATTAATTGTGTGTACCACAAATATTTTATGTTACATAGAAATTATCAGGTTCTCTCATTTTGCAGGGGGCTGGACCCAATGATCTTGTCAGGTCCCTTCCAGCCCCTAACATTTATGAATCTATGATCTATTTCCTACCAAAAACGCCCCGCCTCCCCCATACTGCAGGGTTGTTGGTTGTAACTGTGTTGGTCTAAGGATGTAGGTAGGCAAAGCTCTTTGGGTAGAAGTGCTATCTTTTATCAGACCAACTAAATAGTTGGGGAAAAGCTTTTGGGCACAAACACCCTTCAGGCAATGGGAGATTCTGCTGATGTTAGCACTAGGATGTTAGTGCAACGTACATTTAGACGTTAACATCAGCAGTCTTCCACTGCCTGAAGAAGGGCGTTTGTGCCCGAAAGCTTGCAAAGAACTTTTTTTCCAGCTATTTAGTTGGTCTAATAAAAGATAGAGCCTCTACCCAAACAGCCTTGCCTGCCTACCCTCCTTACTGCACACTGAGCCCTCAAAGACCTGACCCCAACGTTGGATGATGCCACCAGCGAGGCTCGCTGTAGAGTAATGTGTTGTGTTTCCTGCTCTGTACTCCCGCATCCCAGCCATCCTTTCCATGCCACTTCTGGGCTCCATCTCATCCCAACCAGCCAGGGAGGGACATGAGGTTATCAGGGTGGGGGGGGGAGAAGTCTCAAATGCCATGGAAGTGGGTTTCTTTGGTGCGTTGTGCCATTATAGGCAACGCCAGAGCCCATGAGGGTTGCAAAGCGATTTCTCAAAATGGAATGGGCCAGGACAGAGTTGGGGTGGGAGCATGTGGGGCCTGCAGTCAAAAGGAGCAGTCCGATGTTGGCAAGCTCAGTTTGCCCTTCACGCAGCCAGTGGCAAGGTGGTGCATGCTGTGCCCGGCTCTCCTGGGGTCCAGTCACGCTCTGGAAAGCTGCCCCAGGGATGTTTAAAATCTGGCAAGCAGAGGATTGCGGTCTGCAGCTTTGTACCACTGAACACAGCTCTGCCGGAGGAAAAGGGTCCGTGACTCCAGAGCCATCAGCCAAATCTTTCCCTTTTGAGGGAGGAGTAGGGCAGGGGATGTGGGGTCTGGCAGCTTCTGGAGTATCTGTGGAGCCCCTGGAGCACCCTGGCCTGACCCTTGTATTAAGCAGGGTCTGGTCCTGCTCATGAATGCTGTGCTCGAGGCAGAGCTGCCACAGACATCAGTGGTGGGTTCATCAGAGCAAGACAGAGTGGCCCTTAGAAAAGAGCAGTCACCGTTTTCACTTTAGCAATCCAGGACTGATGCTCGGGAGAACGCGTTGGTCCTGCAAGCGTTGGTGCCGGGTCTTCCTGACAACGCCTCTCATTCCTGGCAGGTTCGGTTCTCCCAGGGGCATCACTTTCAGTCCCACGCTGCCTTGTCCCCTGCTCAAATTCCAGCATGGCACCTGCAACTAATGTCTCTCAAGCTACTACTTCAGCGAGCAGCCCTGGGGACTCTTGCAAAGCTGGGATTGTACACCATTTGGGTGGGTTTTTTCCTGTAAAGCAATGGATTTGAATCCTCAACAAAAGTGGGGCTGGAGCCATTTATGTGGAGGCTGGACTAGATATGGTAGAGGAAGATAGCGTAATTTTAGTGCCTGTGATCTTGAGGCTTAAGCAAGGATGAAAGCAGAGAGTGGAGACAGAGGCCTGGGGGTACAAGGGTGGCTAGAAATGCAGGCATGGACTCCTGAGTAAGGAAACCGAATCCTCGTACTGGTATTTGTTCCTGCAGGGTCCAGGAAAACTGTCCCCGCAGGCATTCTTGGGGCATGAGCAAGATCACACCAAAGAAACACTTGACTTACAACTTTGGTTTTTCCTCGTTAGGGATCCAGCCTGGCAGGGCCACAAATATTAGCTAACCACGTGAGGCAGGGAACAGGAATGTGTCTGAACGTTTGCAGAAAACCCCGAGATTGGGTTGCAGTGATTACTGGAGGTCACATCCGTCTGAGAACAGCCAGGTATTTCTGTAGATAAATGGCACTCCACGGTGTTGGAGCCCTGTAAATGCTTAGAATAGGACATGTGCTAGCCCTCAGTGGTTTGCACATTTTTGAGTGAAATGATTATTCCTCTAAATATTCATAGTGGAAAGTGTGTGAATCACTATTTTCCCCGTTTCAAAGGGTTTAATTTATGCAGTCAGGGACCTGAAATGAGGCATTTTTGGTTACCAGTACTGCACAGCTGTCACTATAGTGAACAGTCAAACTGCTCACAAGCTGTAAGATGAAAACCAGTTGTCTGAATCATGTAGCAATTATATTAGAACCTGGATCAGTTTATGAACTAAAGGGATTCAGCTAGTAATTGGTCTGGCAAACCAGTCCTCTTGCTTTACCGCCTACATGAGAATGCCACACGTTCATGCATCAATCGTGCCATGTCCAAAAGGGAAAGACCTCTCCTGAGTTCTGCAAAATATTCTTCTCCTTTGTAAGAACAGGCTACACCACTCACCGCAGCCACTTCCAAGCGCATGTCTACTGCAGCTTTACTAATACAGATCCTTCAGGGAAGGCCCTTTTCCATACAGGTATCTAAGTTAGCACTGCATGACGAGCACTGTGGCCTGGCTCCTCATGCTTGGGCCACAATACTATCAGGAGGAAGACCAGTTTAGCCTGAGTCACCACGGAGGTGTGACCCAACCTAACAGCAATGGAAGATGTGGATGCAGATCTGAGAGGTCTCTCAGAGGGAGTTGGGCAGGCTGGTTTGGCCCATTACTGAGGCATGATTGCAAAATGTGGCACTAGATCTGAGCCTTTCTAATGCTTGGGGATCATTTTGGACCCCTCCTCTGTACCCCTTGTGCTCAGAGGGCGCTATTGGCAGGACTTGCTCATGTTACCTCCAGGGCTCCACGTGGCCTTTCTCACGTCTCATGGGGGAGCCCAGAATATAACCCAAAGTCCACATGGCTGTCACAGTTTTGTAGAGCAGTGGTCTCCAAACTTTTTTGATTGCGCACCCCTATCAGTAAAAAATTTTTGAGCACGCACCCCCAATATATGTATATTTATTTATTTATAAATTGTATACATGTACTACTCACGTACCATACGTGATACGTGACCGTCTGACATACGGACCGAGTGAGGGCACCAGTGTCAGTCCGTATATTAAATATTAGCAAAGCTTAATTTCTTTCTTATTTTTTTAGATAAAAAATAAATAGAAATAGAAGTTCTAATATTTTCTTCCCGCACCCCAATGGATTGTCTTGTGCACCCCACTTTGGAGACCACTGTTGTAGACAATTAGGTCTTCCCTTTTGGGAGCAGGGTCACTAATTGCATCAGCAAAGAACAGCGCATACTATACCAGCGCTGCGGTAGAAGCTGCCTATTGCCTCCTTGCCCTGGGCCTGTCCCCTAGGATGGCCACTGGGAATTCACATCAGAAATAGCCCATTAGATCTCAGCAGGGTTTCCAAGAAATGTGGCTAGCGGAGCATTTCTTTGGAGGTAACAAAAATAAATGTGATTCAAAAGGAAAGCCATTTACCTAGGAAACTGTGGGACCCCTGCGCGTTTCAGCACAGCTCAGCGTTCTGGGTTTTTTTATTTCACATTTTCTAAATGGCATCAATTCAGTCACTGTAGATGGTGCATGACTGGGCACATCTGGTTTTATGGTTAAAGAAACAGTTGATTGAATCGATACACTGAACACAGCCTAGTGGAATAAATAAAGGAACATGTCAAGGAAGCATTGGTCTCCCGTAGACAGAATGAGGCCGCACACATCCGTGGTGCAGCTCCACTGACTTCAACAACGTTATCTTAGGGATGAACCTGGCCCATTGGCTTTTGCAATGCAACCGAGACCCCTTTGTTATCTGTGCACAGCAGCTCGATGTTTGGGAGAGCTCGGCAGCATTCGAGGCGGCCAGTTGTTTCATTGCCTGACTTGCTGCAGCCTGTTGCAGGGAAGACGCGCAGTTTGTGCTCTCTCCTGGACAAACAGGACAGGCCCATTAGAGCAATGGATCTAAAC